CTGCGGCATTCAACCCCAATCCTTCATTTGCTTTGTTTCACTAACAACTCTTATAAGGGATGGTTTGAGTAGGATGGGTTCTGCCTCAGCCCAGGAGGCTGGGTCGTATAATCCTTGTAATACTATTGATTTATTTCTGAGTGGAACGAAAAAGACTGGGGCGGGGGCATCTAGTTTTACCATTTGCAGACGGATTTACGGAACTAATTCTAGAATCCTCTCTTGGACTCTATGCTCCGTTATTAAAAAAACAAAAAACAGTTCATGCTTTGTTTCCTTGTGATACCATCAAATTGCAGCACTAAAGCAAATAGCAATTTCTGAGACTGGAGCTGGTGATTGCAGGGAGCGAGGCTCTCAAGAACTGCCGTAGGCCTGTTTCTTTACATTCCCGTTACCCAGTGATTCTATTTTTTGTTTAACTAATAATGAGTTTATTTTGCGGTTTGACTATATTTTGAGTAGCTTCGTTGCTGCTGCTCCCTTTGGATTGGCTCCCTCCGAATTGCTCCTAAGGATGAATGGTTTTCGTCAGGAAAAAAATGCATTGCAGTGCTGCTCTTGCTTCACCTCTCGGATGGAGGATTTTATTGCAAGGAGGGCATTTGTCTGAGCTAAATGTGATTTCTGAGGGGTTTTAAGAACATTAAACTGTCCACGGGGGACAAGCACAAGCATTTCTGCTTGTAGTAAATGGTCAATGAAAAACTAGATATTGAATGTGTGTTTAATGAGGCTGATGGTGGAAATGAGCCAGATATCAAGCACCTACTCTAGCATTAATTTTTTTAAAATGTGGCTTCCAGAAAAATGTAAGAACATTCGACTTCTTGTCCAACATTGATGTAGAAATTCACTGCTCTTACAGTGCAGTCCCAAACTAACTATGTAAGATACACTGAGCTCTGTGGAGATTATCCCCAACCAAGTGTGCTTATTTTATTTATTTTATGGTTTTATGTCGAATTTTTCAACACTAAAATTCCGGAAATGAGGGGTGCTAAAAAGTTGCAACATGACGGGAATTCAAAAGATATTTTTGTTAAATTAATATGATCTAGGTTTTGCTTGGTAAGTAAAATACATGTAAAATTGCATAGAAATCTTTAAGAATGACTGCCAAGTGCTTTCTATTTTATAATAATATAATATAATATAATATAATATAATATAATATAATATAATATAATATAATATAATATAATAATATAATATAATATAATTATATTATATTATATTATTATATTATATTATAAATTAATTATACAGTGGTGCCCCGCAAGACGAATGCCTCGCAAGACGGAAAAACCGCTAGACGAAAGGGTTTTCCGTTTTGGAGTTGCTTCGCAGGACGAATTCCCCTATGGGCTTGCTTCGCAAGACGAAAATGTCTTGCGAGTCTTGAGAGTTTTTTTTCGCTTTCCCCCCCCTTGATCTAATCTGCTAAGCCTTTAATAGCCTTTAATAGCCTTTTAGCAGCTAATCCCCTAAGCCTTTAAGCCTTTAATAGCCGCTAAACCGCTAATAGCGCTAATAGCGCTAATCCGTCAATGGGCTTGCTTCGCAAGACGAAAAAACCGCTAGACGAAGACTCTCGCGGAACGGATTAATTTCGTCTTGCGAGGCACCACTGTAGTTATTTAGCATTACCCAACATCTTCCGAAGGTAATGTTAAAATTATTTGGTTTCCCTAAAGCAGTTTATGTGCTTCTTCATCAAACATAAATTTGCCAAGCTAAATGTTGCCCAGTCACAAAAATGTCAGGGACTGGGCAGAGGAGGAATGGTGGATTGACCCTTCCAGGGAGGGGAAGACGAAGGCATGATAGATTTACAACAGGGGTATGAGGGAGGTCAAAGTTCAGAGGCAGATGAGGTGAAAAGTTGGGAAATCATGGGACAGGAGGAGCAGGCAGAGCCAGAGCAGCAGCCGGCTGACACATTGTCACTAGAAAGCATCCCAGACCCCCCATCTCCCAGAATCTGGCGAGCCTTAAAAGTAGGAGAGCAAAGAGCTCAAAGGCAGAGGGCATTTAGCGGCACCTATAGAGGAGGTAGGGACGCGGGTGGCGCTGTGGGTAAAACCTCAGCACCTAGGACTTGCCGATTGTATGGTCGGCGGTTCGAATCCCCGCGGCGGGGTGAGCTCCCGTCTTTCGGTCCCAGCTCCTGCCCACCTAGCAGTTCGAAAGCACCCCTAAGTGCATGTAGATAAATAGGCGTTTCCGTGTGCTGCGCTGGTGCTGGCTCGCCAGAGCAGCTTCGTCACGCTGGCCACGTGACCCGGAAGTGTCTCCGGACAGCGCTGGCCCCCGGCCTCTTAAGCGAGATGGGCGCACAACCCTAGAGTCAGACACGACTGGCCCGTACGGGCAGGGGTACCTCTATAGAGGAGGTGGTGCTGTTGACGAATGAGGAAGTGCGATAAAAGCGGGGTAGAGATTTATTCGGGACAGCACCGTTATCCAAGAGCCTGGCGTCTATAGCCTCTCTCTGTAAAGATTGAAATGATAATGATAATGATAATATTTTATTTATATCCCGCCCTCCCCAGCCGAAGCCGGGCTCAGAGCGGCTAACAACAATAAAAGTAACACAACATTCTAAAATCAATTCATTTTAAAATCAATTCAAAATCAAATTCATGGCAACCATTGGGCTAGAGTTCTGTGAGGATTACCAAAGGAGGGGGGTCAGACTGTGCCTTGGCCAAGGGCCTGGTGGAACAGCTCTGTCTTGCGGAAAGATGTCAAGTCCTGCAGGACAATAAGAAACCTTTCCTTGTCTTTATGCTTTCCTGGGCAACCAGCTAGGGGCTGCCGACAGCATCCTGACCAAAAATCACAGCCGATTCCTCACACCCAAAAGCATATTTTTAAGACCCATCATTGAATAAGTTTGCAAAAATTAAATTTCGCTCTCTAAAATGATGCACCTAACCCTAACCCTTTTATTAGTACAAAACACGTATGATTACCACTGATTTTCCCCCCCTGGGGGCACTCAAGAGTATGCAATACAGTGGAAACTCTACTTACGGACATCATCGGTTCCGGAGGTCCGTCCATAAGTAACTTCTGCACGTGCAGACAGCGGCAGCCGCTTCTGTGAGTGTGCAAAAGGCAGAAGCCACTTCTGCGTGTGCGCAAATCACGGCAAACCCGGTATTTACTTCTGGTTTGCCGCAGTCGCAACTTGGATCGGGCCTAAGTAGAGGCAGTCGTAAGTAGAGATTCTACTGTAGTGGCACCTCCCCCCGACCCCCAAGAAGAAAAGCGCTGGTTTAAAATGTGTCACTTGCTGTAACAATTTGTGGTGAATACTGGCACTTTTTCCCTGGAAGAAAAGCACTCATTACCACGGCTGGGACTAGGTTTCAATAGTTCCAGCTGTCTAATTCTATGCATACTTGCTCAGAAATACTAAGGCTTCTTTCCAAGAAAGCGTGCAGCTTCAGATTCTCTCGTAACTATTGCCACAATGCAAAAATATGTGACGTCAGCCAACTCTGCGTGGCTTCTCTATAGATGTGCTTTAAGAAGGCCCAGGGAGAAAAACAATAGCAAATTCCCACTCCACCCATATCTACGCATTCTGCGGCGTGTGGCAGGGTCCATTAGGCACCCAGGGTAGATTTTGATGGTGGTTCCTCACTCTTCTCTGGTTTTGTGGGCCTCAGGACTGAATTGCTTAGAATTCAAATAGATCCGGAATCTATAAAACAGGCAGGCTTCCTCTAAAATCCAGCAACAACTGTAAATTTTAGAGTCTGTTTTTTAATAAAAAAAAAAATTGCTGACAAACATAAAGCACCTTATTAATGCTCTATAAAGGATGCACAAAGTTATAGAAAGCTTTTCGTCAGCACTTTTTAAAGGTTGATGGAGGCAGATCAGGCTGCTTGACATATTGCACATTCAGACTTTCTATTGCTAAACTATCTGATCTTCTGGTTAAACTATCGTTTTTACAGTTTATACATGATGTGCTTTTGAAATAATGATGCTAAGTCAAGGAAAGAGACATTGCCCATAAAAGACTCTGGGAATACAAATCCAAAGTTTTCTGGGAACTCGTCAAAGAAAAATAAGGCAGCTTTAAAATAAGTCTGTTCTCGTTAGAGCTGAAGCAAATCTCCTCCTTGAATGCTCACTCATGAAGCCTGATGTTGCTTCCATCCACCCTGAGAATGGCTGTGCATTTCAAAAATTGCCAAATATTCATCAAATAATTGCAATCTATTTATAATTGATTGCTAACTGACAGCTTTGCACAAATTATACTTTAAGGTCCTTAATAAACCATATTGGAGACCAAAGATTGCAATGTATAAGAATAGCAGTAGGAACACTTTTTTTGTTAGCTGCATGCCCAGTGTACATTGTTAAAACCCAGGACTCAGCTACATTAGCAAAAAAACCCAATGCTTTGGATGCGTAATAAAGATGCAACACCAGATGGCGCCAGAGAGCAAATACATTTTCTTTGTGATTTTTACATAAGGTTTTTTTCTTTTGTTATAACGTTTTAATTTCTGACTTATTTATAATGGTTCCCCCCCCCCCCCGTGTGTAGATCCACCCCCAATAAACTAGCAAATTGTCCCTCTGACATATAACTGTTTTACAGAACTGTTTCATACACTACAAAGATATGCAACGGTATTAGTATTTGACTTCAGATGTCTTCTTAAAGTCAGATAGTTGTTTATTTCCTTGACATCTGATGGGAGGGCGTTCCACAGGGCAGGTGCCACTACCGAGAAGGCCCTCTGCCTGGTTCCCTGTAACCTCACAGTGAGGGAAATGCCAGAAGGCCCTTGGAGCTGGACCTCAGTGTCCAGGTAGAATGATGGAGGTGGAGATGCTCCTTCAGGTATACTGGGCCAAGGCCATTTAGGGCTTGAAAGGTCAACACCAACACATTGAATTGTGCTCGGAAACGTACTGGGAGCCAATGAAGGTCTTTCAGAGTTTGCCTCTGCCTGTTCTAGTCCAATCCCCTGCAATGCAGGAATCGAACCCGCAACCCTGAGATTAAGAGTCTCATGTTTTACCGACTGAGCTGTCCAATGCATGGGCCTCCAGTATTAGTGGAAGCTGCTAAGCAATCAGAAAACCATAGACTTGCATGCTTCTTCTCACTGTGTTGCTTACTGTTCCTGGGACTTGCAGGTCAAAGTGGGGATTTCGACTTTGGGTGCTCCTACACAGCTGTGGTCTTATGGTCGAGACCACATGAATGCAATGTTTGTTAAGCACCCACACAACGTTCCGCTCATCTCAGTGCCATTCCGTATTAGTTCCTCGTTTAATCCAAAGTTACCCTTTCTGGGGGGAAATCCAACAAGATTTATTTTATTTTATTTCATTTCATTTCAATTTAATATACCACTCTATAGCCAGAGGTCTCAGGGTGGTTCACAGAAAAGATCACAGTATATAAAATCAAAATAAGAACAATAACCCAATAACACCCCACCCACCCACCCACCCACCCACCCAAAGAGCCACATTTTAAAAGGGCATAGGATGTCAGTCAGATCAACCAAAGGCCTGGTTAAAGAGGAATGCTTTTGCCTTGCGCCTAAAGGTACATAATGAAGGCGCCAGGCGAACTTCCCTGGGGAGAGCATTCCACAGATGGGGAGCCACTGCAGAGAAGGCCCTGTTCTCATGTTGCCACCCTCCGGACCTCTTGAGGAGGAGGCACACGAAGAAGGGCCTCCAAAGATGATCTCAGGATCCGGGTAGGTTCATATGAAAAGAGGCGGTCCTTGAGGTGTTGTGGTTGTGCGCCGTTTAAGGCTTTATAGGTCAAAACCAGCGCTTTGAATTGGGCCCGGTAAAACCAAAGTAAAACCAAAATCCCACAGTAATGGTTCGTCAGGATTACCGTATTTTTCGCTCTATAAAATGCACCAGACCATAAGACGCACCTAGTTTTTGGAGGAGGAAAACAAGAAAAAGAATATTCTGAATCCCAGAAGCCAGAACAGCAAGAGGGATAGCTGCGCAGCTTGCATTCTCTCCATAAGATGAACACACACATCTCCCCTTACTTTTTAGGAGGGAAAAAGTGCGTCTTATAGAGCGAAAAATACGGTAAATTGGGGGTGAGAGATATGGGGCAGCATGTGGATGAGGTTGACGTCAAAACGCTTCCTGAAGCAAACATGCACAAACAGCACCGAGTCCACAATAAACTGCCGCATGGAAGCGCCCTCTCTGCATACTGCATGGCTATAAAGAAAGTGAAGAACAGTGATATTATCTTGGATCGAGGGTTAATTTTTAGTCCCTCAGAAACTGGCAAAGTGCTGCTGGGTCCTGCAAAGTGCAGTGGACTTGTCCCCCTTTTTAATTTCCTGAGCATTGTGTCCATGGCTCTATCTTCAGCTCTCATCAGCCCAAGGGCAGCAAGCATTCTTGATATCCCTTCTTGGCAGCACCGCAAATCATCGTAATTTGGTTGCCTGGCTAGCTTTCCCTCCCTAAATAATAGATTCTTTTGATTCTCCTCGCGCCTGCCCTGCCATGCAGCCTGACAATCTGCCCACTTAGAATAATTGATTGTATAATATTAATTGCGTGGCCTTGAAAGATGTAGATTCAGTGTGTTAGGCATCCGAGCCAAAGTGCGGCACAAAAATGAATTCCATCAATACTATTGCAATTGTCTTTGGACTTCGGCATTGTAAAAAACGAGGAGGTTTCGCTCCTCCTTTTCCTTTCAAACAAATCAATTCTGTCCTATATTTCCAAACTCATTTTCACGTCTTAGTGACTAGCAATCATCCAAAAGGATATCTAAGGCATTAATTAAACTGGGGATTAATAGCACACAATTAAATTAGTACTTAAGAATCCCGTAACAAGGGCATTAAAATGGGGAAATTCCAGGATGGAGCTCTACTGCTTTAAGACTCAATTGGCAGAGGCTTGCATTTGCATTCAGACCTCGTCCCCGCTACTTTTTAATTATCAGTATTTCAAGACACCTCTCTCTCACGCACACTGATCCTTTTCAGTGAATTAATTTGGCCGTCATCTTGAAACCAGATGAGAGCTGGGCTTCTGTAGCTATCTGCTGAAATGCCTATGATTGGTTTGGATGGCAGGGCATTGGAGAAACCCGGTGATGCCAGGCGACAGAGTTGGGCAACTGCCAACTGACCAGCACCACCTCCTTGCCAGTGCTATTGCTCCTCCATCAGTGATGAGGACACTCTGCCAGATGAAAACAGACTTGTACAGTGGTACCTCAGGTTACATACGCTTCAGGTTACAGACTCCGCTAACCCAGAAATAGTACCTCAGGTTAAGAACTTTGCTTCAGCATTTCAACATATACATTTATTAAGAAACCAGAAGCATTTTTACTTGGCATTGTAGGAGATGATATAAACAGAAAGGATTGTAAGTAGTTTTTATATGCAATGATGGCAGCAAGAATATTATTGGCACAAAAATGGAAGCAAGAAAAATTACCGACAAAAGAAGAATGGAGGATGAAATTGATGGACTATGCAGAATTGGATAAACTAACCGGAAGAATTCGAAACCTGCGGGACCAGAGATTCACAGAAGACTGGTGTAAATTTATGGACTATTTGAAAAGCAATTGTGATGACCAGATTACGTTTGTAGCTTTGCAAGAAGTTTTGTGAGGTAAATTATTTGAATTATTGCAAAAATGGTTAAAGAGGTGGATTGTGAGTTAAGATAATTAAAGGCAATAGGAATTTAAGAAATGCAGAAGAAATGATAAAAATGGTGGATCATCAGAGGTGCTGATGGAAGTCCAAAAAAGAGAGAAAAAGATTGTATAAGATGTGAAGTTCTGTGGAATGTATAATAATTGGTATGTTGAAATTAATAAAAATTATATATATATATATATAAATAAGAACTTTGCTTCAGGATGAGAACAGAAATCGTGCTGCGGCAGCACGGCGGCAGCAGGAGGCCCCATTAGCTAAAGTGGTGCTTCAGGTTAAGAACAGTTTCAGGTTAAGAATAGACCTCCAGAAATAATTAAGTACTTAACCCGAGGTACCACTGTATAGCGTAGATCAGGGCTCGGCAAGGTTTACCTCACCTGGGCCTGTTCACTCCTGCGGAGATCGCTCCGTGGGTCAGATCGCGTCTGCGCAGATGCAATTTTCGGCATCTGCGCAGACATGATTTCCGGTGCCGCAGAAACGAGTCCCTGCTCTACGCTGCGCCGGTTTAGCGGGGACTCGCTGAGCGAGCGACTTGGTTTGGGGGCGGCTCGGGGGCTGTTTAAACAACCCCCATGGGCCGCTTGTGGCCCACGGGCCTTAGGTTGCTTACCCCTGGTGTAGATGATGGGAAGGATGAGCAACTTGGCTGTGAGTCCCGGAAGACGTTCTCCCAGTCCTGCAGGCCTTTCCCATCTGGCCTAGGAGAGCCCTGACTGACTCCAGCTACAAAAGCTGAGGCTGTTCAACAGACTCTGGTGCTGGAGTATTGCTTAGGGGGTTGGGGTTGGGTAGGTAAGTGGGAATTGCTGCTATGATTGATGTCATTTTTTGTAATTTGGTTTTGGATCTTCCTATGAATTATGTGGAAATTGTTCAGTTTGGTGGTATGCTTTTTGATCCTCAATTTAATGCTTGTGACTACTTTGGTTATGTTTGGAATTAAGGAATTTTTTCATGTTGTAAGCCGGCTGGGGCACGGTTTGGCTATGAAAAGGTGGCATGCAAATAAAATGATGTATGCATGTACATATGAGAGAGGGGGCACCACATTCTGCCCATTATGGGGGGGGGGGAGACTCATTGCAGACCCTCCAAGTGTCCCTATTTTCCAGGGATGTCCTTAATTTAGAGAAGCCATCCTGGTTTCTGATTTGATCCCAGAATGTCCCACTTTTCCTTAGGGTGTTGCTGATCACCAAAGCATTGATGCTTTTGAATGATGGTGCTGGAGGAGACTCTTGAGAGTCCCATGGACTGCAAGAAGATCAAACCTCTCCATTCTTAAGGAAATCAGCTCTGAGTGCTCACTGGAAGGACAGATCGGGAAGCTGAAGCTCCAATACTTTGGCCACCTCATGAGAAGACTCCCTGGAAAAGACCCTGATGTTGGGAAAGATGGAGGGCACAAGGAGAAGGGGACGACAGAGGACGAGATGGTTGGATAGTGTTCTCGAAGCTACCAGCGTTCTTCACGATTTTCCATAGTGATTCCCAACCCCCTTTGTTATAACCATTTAATTTCTGACTTATTTATAGCAGGGGTTTTCCTGTGTGTAGATCCACACTCGAGCTCTTTACCACTGCTGTGGTATAGCTGGAACTGTGAATAAAATGGAAATTCCACCCACCACTTAATATAGCATCATGTTATTCAACTAGGCTCTTTCCCATAGCTAAAGTCTACTCACAGGTTACCCCTGTTCAAAGTTCCATTTGGTAGCCGTTAAAACTTTCCTCTTTGCAATTTCTTCCTGTTTTATTGATTGCACTTGGGGAACTAATGATGGATAGCTTCTTCATTTCTTTTGAATTGCCTGTTTATTGCTCCTTGAATTGCTCCAGTGTCAGATTCTGCTCCTGTTTGGGAGGGGAGAGGCAACTGGTTTCCTCGTCATTTTTTTAAAAGAGTGAAATTGTGCTATAATATTGGTAATCCTTCACTGCAGAAGGATTACAGTGTCTCCACTCATGTGCAGTTAGATATGCATGCCAACCTTACCAACCTTACTGTAAGCTTGTGAAAGTGGACCACTTATAAATGCCATCTCCAACTCCTCGAAAGATTCCATCAACGGTGTCTCTGAAAATTTTTACACATCTCTTGGAAAGACAGGCAAACTAATGCCAGTGTACTGGAAGAAGCAAAGATCACCATTGTTGAAGCAATGATTCTTCAACATCAACTTCGTTGGACTGGTCATGTTGTTCGGATGCCTGATGATCGTCTTCCAAAGCAACTACTCTATTCCAAACTTAAAAATGGAAAGCGTAATGCTGGTGGTCAACAAAAGAGGTTTAAAGACTCTCTCAAGGCAAATCTTTAAAAAGAAGTATAAACACCGAGAACTGGGAAA